CTTTGATTTGATGGTTTCTCACCTTTACAATACCTAACAGAACAATAAATATATTAATGGTACTTCTTTGATTTGATGGTTTCTCACCTTTACAACACCTAACAGAACAATAAATCAGTCCCTGTCTTGGAAGAAAAGGCTGACCGAGTAAAGGCATGTGACAAGTAGAACATCGGAAACAACGCTCCACCGCATGCCAGTGCTGCCCCTCGTATGTCATCTGCCCCTGCTCTACGCCGATTGGGTTACCACAAGTGTCGCAGTACTCAGAAAATATGGCGTCAAAGCAGTGAATACAAAATGGTTTCCCGTCACTCACGATGTACTTTTCTCCTCCGAGGCTTTGCTCACACTCAGAACAGTAGAAATGTTTAATGTGCCAAGTCATGCCCTCTGCTTCGGTACACTCGTCGGCAAAAATGATCTGAATTACGGAACAATATCAATCATACATCAACTGAATTACGGAACAATATCAATAATACAGCAACTGAATTACGGAACAATATCAATAATACAGCAACTGAATTATGGAACAATTCAAATAATACAGCAACTGAATTATGGAACAATTCAAATAATAACCGTAATTCAGTTGCTGTTGTTCCGTAATTCAGTTGCTGTATTATTGATATTGTTCTGATACTGTTCCGTAATTCAATTGCTGTATTATTGATATTGTTCCGTAATTTAGTTGTTGTATTATTTATATTGTTCCGTAATTCAGTTGCTGTATTATTGATATTGTTCCGTAATTCAGTTGTTGTATTATTGACATTGTTCCGTAATTCAGTTGCTGTATTACTGATATTGTTCCGTAATTCAGTTGTTGTATTACTGATATAATACAACAACTGAATTACGAAACAATATAAATAATACAACAACTGAATTACGGAACAATGTCAATAATACAGCAACTGAATTACGAAACAATATAAATAATACAACAACGCTCTACTGTTTTTAATAAATCGTCTGTGTGTTCGCAGATTGGTCAAACTTATTTTAATGTTAACTAACTCACCTGTATTATTATCGTACTTATCCTGTTGAAAAAAATAGTCAAAAACACTCCATAAACAAACGAAGGACAACATAGTGCTTAATTTACGGCATCTGGTTTTATAATGTCCAGCTGCACTCTGTTACTTACCTCATCGCATGATGCACATCGAGGTTTGAAACATTCGGCATGATGGCGACCACAGTACAACTTGCCATCTTTGGTGAAGTAGATCAAATCTATTAGAAGTTCCTTACATTCACTACAAACAAAGCACGAAGGGTGCCAGAAACCCTTGCAATTTCCTCTGTCCACCTTTACGCAGACGTCATTTCCGTTCAGGGTCTCCTCACACTGAAGAAATTCAAATAATTATTCAAACATTGCTCACAACTCGATTGTGTTCAAACAGCGACAAAAAGATGAAATAGTAGATAGTGTAGAAAATACAGAAATATCCAACAATATAGGTTAAACACAACATATATCCACTAACAATACATGTAAAACAAAAAATATATTCAATAGCAATATAGGTAAAACAAAAGATGTATCCACTAGCAATACAAGTAAAACAAAAGATATATATCCACCAAAAAATACAAGTAAAAAAATATATATCCATTAAAATACAGGTAAAACATAAGATGTGGGCCTTTTCCCTACCAACAACGATACA